AAGCTGAAGCCAGACATTGGCCCAAACGCATCTTGTCAAACAAATCATGTTGTGAAATATTAATGGCTATATTTAAATGAAAAAGAAAAATAATGACGATCAAAGCACATTCTGAACAGATCCTCAAATAGCTGGGGCAGACACTGCACTCTGATGACTGCTCCTGTCGGCTTAGATTTGTATTTTCATCTCTCCCTTCCTCTGCACGCCTACAGCACCCCCCTCCCCATCTATCCCTTATTCCTCCCCTCCTCTGCTCACTGTGTAACACTGATTATACTGAATCAGGGCACACGGCACAGATGAGATCACTTGCTAAGCTGTGTGGAACATAAGAGCGTCACCCAGAGACCAAAAGAAAGATTTACAGTCACACCATCCACAAACTTGTGTTACCATGTACAAACAAAATACCACTGGATGTATTTTTATTTTTTATTTATTTTTAAATAAAGAATATAGGAGTATAACTAGTACTGAGAAACTTATATCAATTAAAATAGATCTCAATTTTGATATGCTATGGTTTATTTCAGGGGCCTGAGGAGTACTGAATATCAAGAACAAAACTTTTTGGGGGGGCTAAATCCCTTCTGAAAATTTATGTAACTAGCCACTATTTAGAATTTCATATAAACTTCTAGGTTAAATGGATAGCTCAGTACATTACCTCACAACTATGTCGGATGAACAGGTATAAGTCAGTTTGTAACCTTAACACATGATGATGATAATAATAATAATAATAATAATAATAATAATAATAATAATAATAATAATAATAATAATAATAATAATAATAATAATAATAATAATAATAATAATAATAATAATAATAATAATAATAATAATAATAATAATAATAATAATAATAATAATAATAATAATAATCAGGAGGATTATCATTAACGTCTGTGACTGTTATGGCTATAGTTTTACTGCTGAATAAAGGGAGTGTGCCAGCATCCACAGCAGTCACAGTTATGTTATAGTGAGGACACTTTTCCCGGTCTAAAACTCCATCAATCACAAGCATGAAGTAATTCTTTACCTCTGACACAAGTTTAAATGGCACGTCATCAGATATCTTACATGTGACCTGTCCACTGGTGCCAGTATCAAGGTCATAAATGTGCAGCAAAGCCACCATGGTTCCAGGTGAAGTATCTTCTGGCACAGTAGAAGTAGTTGATTTAACAGCAATAACAGGTGAATTGTCATTCACATCTATCACATCTATTATGAGTTTACAGTGAGATGACTGGCCGCCCCCATCTTTGGCTTGCGCATCCAGCTCGTGAGAACTGGCCTCCTCATAATCCAGTGCAACCATGACCTTTACCTCACCCGTCACGTGGTCGACCTCCACAACCCCCCTCGTCTTATCAGGCACGTGACTGAAAGAGTAACTAATTTCCCCATAAATCCCATTGTCTAAATCTGTTGCATTTAATTTAAACAACACAGTGCCTCGAGGTGAATTTTCCTGCACACTGACTTTGTACACACTTTGACCAAACACAGGAACGTTATCATTGGCATCCAACACGTGAATGTGAATTGATGTCGTTCCAGAACGAAAAGGTCGGCCACTATCCACTCCACTTAGAGTCAGAAAATGATCAGCTTGGTTTTCTCGATCCAAAGGCTTTTTAAGAACCAATTCAGGATATGCATTTCTGTCCACCTGGGTATTCATTTCCAAAGAAAAATATTCATTCTCACTGAGTTGATAATGCTGAACTGAATTAGCTCCTATGTCAGGATCGTGAGCACTTTCAAGTGGAAAACGCCTCCCCAAGACCATTGACTCCAGTAGCTCCAGCTCAATCTGACCATTTTCAAACGTCGGACTGTTATCGTTGATATCCTGGATGTCTAAGAGGAGACTGTAAACTTTGAGCGGATTTTCCAGGAGCAGCTGGAATTGCAGGACGCACGGCGCAGACTGCACACAAAGCTCCTCACGGTCCATTCTCTCACTCAACAACAGAGAGCCTGTTTCTGAGCTCAGCTCGCAAAACTGTCGGCTCCCCTCAGCAACAACTTGAGCGTTGCGTCTCACAAGCTCAGTCACATCTATCCCCAAATCTCTCGCCACATTGCCAATGACAGAGCCTCGCTGCATCTCCTCTGGAGCTGAATAACGCACTTCACCGAGAGAGCCCCACATGCAAATGAAGCAGAAACAAAGCTGAAGCCAGACATTGGCCCAAACGCATCTTGTCAAACAAATCATGTTGTGAAATATTAATGGCTATATTTAAATGAAAAAGAAAAATAATGACGATACATTCTGAACAGATCCTCAAATAGCTGGGGCAGACACTGCACTCTGATGACTGCTCCTGTCGGCTTAGATTTGTATTTTCATCTCTCCCTTCCTCTGCATGCCTACAGCACCCCCCTCCCCATCTATCCCTTATTCCTCCCCTCCTCTGCTCACTGTGTAACACTGATTATACTGAATCAGGGCACACGGCACAGATGAGATCACTTGCTAAGCTGTGTGGAACATAAGAGCGTCACCCAGAGACCAAAAGAAAGATTTACAGTCACACCATCCACAAACTTGTGTTACCATGTACAAACAAAATACCACTGGATGTATTTTTATTTTTTATTTATTTTTAAATAAAGAATATAGGAGTATAACTAGTACTGAGAAACTTATATCAATTAAAATAGATCTCAATTTTGATATGCTATGGTTTATTTCAGGGGCCTGAGGAGTACTGAATATCAAGAACAAAACTTTTTGGGGGGGCTAAATCCCTTCTGAAAATTTATGTAACTAGCCACTATTTAGAATTTCATATAAACTTCTAGGTTAAATGGATAGCTCAGTACATTACCTCACAACTATGTCGGATGAACAGGTATAAGTCAGTTTGTAACCTTAACACATGATGATGATAATAATAATAATAATAATAATAATAATCTATATAAATGGTTATGATGAGTTGTAATTAAAAAAATTAGATGATTCTGCTTTTCTAAAATGTACAATGCCATTAAACAAATATTTAACATAGTCTAAATCAGATTATCTGGTGATGATAGCACTCAAAAAAAACGCGGAACTAATTTCATACCTTATTTTCAGAGGTATTGTCCCGCATAGTCGCTGCATCAAGCCCTTCAAGCTCATCCACAGCAGACTTTTTCAGAGTCAGGTCAGCAGTCAGTGTGCCCTCATTATAAGATCTGACGAACTTGAAGTCACTAGTGCGCGAGCCCGTGGTCAGGTATGCGTCATAATTGTAAGTGCTGCGGAGAGTTCCCGCGTCCTCCACCTCTGCGTAATTTGGAGGAAGATACGCGCTGGGAATGGCTACAGCTCCATCAAACAACAGTCTGGGCTTTCTCCTGCGACAAAACCTCACGGCCAGGATGATGATGATGAAGGTCAGGAAGAAAGTGGAAACGGACACCAGCGCGATGATCAAATAAAACGT